GAAGCTGGCCACCACTCTGTTTTCTAAGGAGACAGATAAGACCATATAGTAGGACTCAGATTTCTCACAAGTATGACAAGCTGATAAACTTCAGACTTTTAGAGGCTAGCTTCCCTCCACATGAACCCCCTATAATTAGAAGAATAAAGAACTGACACAAAAAGCTTGCGAAAAGAAATAATTTGCTTTAGCTTATTGATATGCTCCATTTTGCTTCCTTCAGTTTTTTTTTAAAAGACATCACACATGCATTTCACTCTACTATCATGTAATTCTGGCAATAAATTAGAAATTGAAACTTATCAGACATATGGCTTTGCAGACTGAAAATTTTCAGAAATTCACAAGCTAGTAACAACCCAGATTGTAATTAAGAAGTACAGAAGTCTTAAATCAAGTGATATGGATATTTGTGATGCCATTTAAACTAGCAGATACATTAAAAATTAAAATTTAAAAGCACACCATTATACACTGGCAGGACGATTTCATACCTCAGGAATAAAACAACCCGCATTAAATATGATGTACCAATGAAACATTCCACTTCTGCTCTTATTTTTAACGTTTTCCTTCTAAAGCATTTGTTTAAAATGTTGCTAGCCAAGTTCCATTTCTAAAAAGTACAGGGAATGCAAACATAGAGATCTCCGACTTTCACTGTTTCACTAATGTCTACCCTCCTCTCTTCTTCCACCAACATCATAACTTGGTAAATGGTAAGAGCATTTTCCAAAGATTTTTCAGATGTCATCTGATTTCTTTCACTGTTTTTCTTATCTTCATTTCCTCCATGCACAAGTTTTCTTTTCCGCTTGGAATTTGCATTTTGAAAGAATAATTTTATATTTGACACCAAAGACTAAATAGTTCAGTAAATACCAGGGATATTATACCTCTACTTATGGAACAAGATGCATAAATGTACAGTTAATTAATTTTACTTCCCTTAGATGCTTTCTCCATGCTTAGCAATGACTACATTTTGAAAAAAGTTTATCACATTTGAATTAATTCTGGACATACCTGTGGGAACAAGGCAAATAAAAATTTGTATTTATTGCTTCCATAGATTTCATGGTTGAGGGAAATAGAAGCTATTCAATGTGACAAAAAAACTGTGTTGGAAATGACATATCTCCTGAAGACAAGAGGGTTCATAAATTCAGTAGTCTTCTAGGAGCTATTTCTTCAATCTAAAGAAATTTCCAAGTTCAAATGTCTTGTCATAACATGTTACATGAAAGCACAAAGCAAGTTGACTTTATATATATATGTATATAATGTATATATACATATATATGTATATAATTTGGTTTTTCTCTTTAATGCACAAAAGTGTAAATGTAGAACTCATGTCTGACACTGGGCAAGGAAATTGGTTTTGAAAAACGAAGATTATAACATTAACGGAGATTCAATGAAATAAACCAGTTGCGTACACTGATTTTCATTAAAATGCTATTGTGAAGACAATTGTGAATCAGTTTCTACTAAAAAGTAATTCATAGAGGAAAGCTGTAAGACACTTGCCAGGCACCATGCAGCCAGAGAGCTATTATTTTATTACTCTTCTTTTAACGAATGAATATTTAATTTCAAATACGTAATTAAGAAGTAAAATTATTTCAAGATGAGATTTAACTGGAGTCATATCTCAAAATTATTATATATTCTATTGCATAAGTTATGCCTATAAATCTATTTTTCCAAGATTATTTGAAAAACTTTGTCTTGCTCCTCATTTCCACGCCAATGTAGAACTATTGTTTCTTTGAGTTTTTTTAATCACAAAAAGCTTTATGATACAGCACCATTATTTCTGGTCAGGCCTAGCTGTATAGATATGCATTATGGTTAGTAGAATAAAGATTATTATTTTTGGTTTTGACAATTCTTGGCTACAATGTTTAAGAGATACAATGGGGTCAAAAGGAATTTCTGGTACTTAATGTAGATTTATTTGCAGATGCAAAGAGCAAGATGAAAGAGAGAGAATTTCAGTCATTACAGTAATTTTACTTTACTTTGGGACACGTATCTACTCCATGTAACTTTGTTATTTGTACTCTATTAAAAGACGTTATGATGATTAATATTCTAGAAATGGCTATTCAGAGAGTCAGCTATAAATCTCTATTAACTCAACTGATATTAAACTACTTTTGACAGTGTAGTGCTAAATATCCAAGAAGTAACTTAATCTTTCTAAAGATTTAGAAAAGTGCAGAAGGAAATCATAACATCATTTTGCTGTTCAAAAGCTGTTAGAGCTCTCTCAATTGCTGTCAGAGCTTCCCCTCTACCCAAGATTTCCCCCAGTAAGCGCTTTTCATACATCAGAGATGCTCATTTTCCAGCAATTCCACTATTTATATCATAAATAATTTTAAGTAAATATTTAACACAGTAAGCTAAGGAAAATTCATTTCACTTGTTTCATGTTTCACATATTCAAAGACAAAAATATTTTTTCTTTAGAAAGCTGAAGCACCAACATTTTGAAAGCTGCATTCACAACTATGTTATTCTGCCTGCATATCAGAAACTTCTTAAGCTATTTATTTTCTATAACTTTCAAAGAATGGTAAGTTTTTACAAGCAAACAACTGCACAATATGCTAGAGTTAAGGGAGTACTATTATTTCCTATTCACAACGAGCTTTTGCAATGACAGCTTGGAAGAGGATTCACAGAGCCAGAATTCGAGACACATCACTTGCAGCTCTTGAAGTAAGCTCCCTGAAAAGGTTTAAAGAAAGGGCATGGAAGTTCTCTTGAAAACATGAGAACTCTTTTTTAAAGAAACAGTTATTTCTCCAATCTTTTTTTAAAGAGGGCTTCCCCTCAAATCTTCTGCATAAAACATGAGGAGTTTGTTAACAGACTTCCTCTTGCCCTACTTTATGTTTACTCTCAGCACAGTTCATAATACTTTCCTGGAGTCTGAAGGGAAAATAATGCCTTTTGTCACCTCAGAGACTATGCATCTGCTCTTTGCTGTGCTCATAACTTTCCTACCCTTTTTTCACATTAAGGTCTCTATTTGCTGTTCCTCTATCACACTCTGCAGAGTATCCTCCTTGCACTGTAGAAGTTTTGCCTTGTCCTGCCTCTGTGTAGTAGAAATAATCACTATTCTCTTATGTCGATTCCCTCTACATGGGAGTGTTTTACTCAGGACAAGCAATAAGGCACCCTTCACCCACTCACACCTGGTCCTATGCTGCCTTTAACACAAAACAGTAAGTCAAATACATGTGACCTGACTCACACCTAAATGCAGTATCATGATGCCTATGAAAATATCAGGTACTGTGAAGCTTATCTTTTAGGGTTATGTTTTCACTGGGTCAGAAACAATACTGAATTGCATTGCTGTGATTACTTGCTTATATAGCAATGAGAAAGTATGACTATGACCCAAGTTTGCAAATGCTATTGCAGTTAAATCAGAGCTTGTTTATTAATTGCAACTGACTTCTTTCTTGATCTGTTATCTTTTGTTGGTGATTTTCCCATTATACATAATTCAGATTTTTAGACCTGAGCATTAAAAAGATTATATAACTAATATCTTAGAAATGGGCACAGGTGTTTGTGAACTTTGTGATACATCAGACATGTATTGGACACAAATCTTCAAATGTACTATAATGAGTAATTTCATTCACCTCAAAAATATTTCAACGAATTGTTTGAAAGTCTAGTAACAACTTTTTAAAAATCAAGGTTTTTCTCTATTTTTTCCACTGTCCATTATATTGCATTTCATTCAGAAAAAAAACCCAACAAAACCAAATAACCTACAGAAAGCCAAAATAAAACCCACCTGAAAATATGAAATAATACATAAGTCTAAAACATACATTGATAAAAGGTTGAATTCTTTCAACCCGTATCTTTTCAATTCTAATGTAATCTCATTCTAAAGTAGATCTGCTAAATCTGCTAAAGATTCAAAAGTGAATTCTGCTCCCACAGTTTATTTCTCTTTACTGACAGATGAATGTTAAATTTACTAGCTTGGACCTGTAAAACTGCAATTTAAATGCCTAAATGCAGAGAAAATTAAAACCAATCACAGAACTGGCTCTAAGAGTGCAAAATGGGTATAACAACCTGAACAGTAGTGGCAAGAAAAACACAGTTAAACCTGTGAATTATAAAATGTTATGAGTTGCAGAAAAGAATAAATATAAAAGGACATAACTGCTAAACAAAAGAAGCAGATTCATTGAAATGTGCTCTATTACTTCAATAATAATTTTAGTATAGACCTTAAGAGACCATTATTTCTCATAAATTATATGCATTCTACCCTTTATGTAAGTTTAATTTCATGAACCAGATGTTTTTAATTTTGTAAACCTATGAAGAATCAAATGGCTACCAATATGATTTAATTTCTGAATAAGTAGCATATTTTTGCTTCATTGATTCTGATTAATTTTTAATATTACTGTCGTATCTGTTCTGTCAGGTGTAACCAGAAAAATTTTTAATCTTGCCCAACAAAATTCTTTATTTCTTGAACTTCTTGTCTGAATCTACTTCACAGACAACTAAAAGGAGGGATAATTGTTAACAAAAACACAACCCCACAACAGAACAGAAACTTCCTTTGATAATGTTCCCATGCTGAACAATGACAATTACAAAGCTTCCCTAAAGCTAAACTAAAAGAAAGCAATTCAAAAGTATTCTAATGACTTATATATACTTTTACTACTATCACCTGTATGTGTTCATGCATCTAAATAAGGCATATGCTGTTCTGCCCCAGCAGACAGTGCATCCATCACAGAATACCAATTCTCATAACTTCAAGGAAGTCCATAGGAATCACCAGTTCTATGGTTTCAAAAGGACCACTTATAAAATTAAATTCTGCAGAAGCACAGAATAATTTCAAGCCAAAAACTAACAAGGTATTTTGACTTATAGAAGACATACAGGATTCACAAGATTGCAATTTAGATATCCCAAAACTGCCTTACCATGGTGTAGTTATGAGCCACCTTCATAAGCTCTGTGCATCCTTGCGCATCAGCAAATGCTCGTATTCCCAAACAGTTGGATGGGTGCAAAAGCTTCATTAGAAAATGGCAACAAACCTCTACTACTTGTGGGAGCTGGAGGAGGCAGGCAGCTGCTAGAAGATTTTCAATTGTATCTTCTTTCAATTCCAGGCAGCCTAAAAAAAAGGACTGATTATGGATGTATACATATTTTTTTGGTATTTACAAAACACGCAGTATCCAAAAAAAGGTTTTTATAAATAATCATAGCTCTCTATAAATCATTCTACAGAAAGAATGAAGAAAAGTAGGTGTCCCTGACTGGACACCTCAGTGACTTGAATATTACAGCATTAGAAACATTTCTTTTTCAACTACTATTAATTCAACTGTATAATAGACATACAAAGAGAGGCTGTAAAGTGTGGAAAGGAAGAGAGGACAGGATATCTGGATATCAAAGAGTCTGTGGATGGTTTTCTTGGGTTTCTTTTTATTCTCGTTGAAATTGGTGAAAAAATTTGCATTATCTTCAGCGGCACAGAGCAAACCTCACAGTCATTTACTTCCCTGCAAAGGATGAAATAACTGCCTAGCATAGTATGAATAAAGCCATAAAAATATCTTCAAAATAAGGCTTACAATCTTCAGAGTTTGTGTTGCTCATTTGTAATGTGACTTTGGGATTAATTTTATCTGAGTAACATATGGCAGCCTTCTCATAGCATAGAGTCCTTCTAAAGTAATTTATATTAGTGAATAGGTCATATACGCATGCATAATATTTATCTTCCATTAACTAACACTTATATTGCACTTAATGCTGTAATTTCACAAGTCATTATCTTTATCTTACAGATTGACACACTTTTTAATAAATGATAAAATAAATTTCAAAAATAATTTCTTTGAATGAGGAAAGTGTAATTCTCTTCATCATGCTCCCCCACATAATTTTAAAGTATTTTTTTACATTAGTATCTTATAAATCTCTTACATTAATAATTTACTAAGCTATAAGTTAGAGATCACAAGGATATCTTGGAGAAGTAGAAAAAAAAGAATAGGAAAAAGTGGACTTAGTAAAAAACACTTCTGATTTTATTTTGCTGTGCTTGGAAAAATCTTTTCAAACAATAAGAGGATTAAGTGTATATTGATCTTTCTCTTCAAAGTAATATAGTTCAACACTTAGATAAACTCACTCTTTTCTCCATATAAATTTTGTATTTGTTGTCGCATAAAGAAAAATCTACAAATCTCAATCACAGAGCACTAAGGAGTTCTAAAATCCTCAACACAACAGTATGCCATTGAAAAGAAAAGATGCTTTGTATTGCAATATCAACCCCAAAATAAAATAGCAATAACACTGCACATCTTTTCTCCTTTCACTATATGTGGAGCTTTAAATACAAGATGGAAACTGTGAAGTTATACTTTACTAGATTTAGTTATAATACATCCTTTTGCAAAAGTTAGATCATTTCAGTGGGTTTCCTCTGTTTATTTTTATGCTTCTATTAATGTCATATGAGTTTCTCTTTATATTATCAGACACTTTCTCATAATTTCTGTCCACCATGTGTTTATGCAGTGTGGTCAGAAGGCATACTCAGCAGCAGATTCTTGGCTGACCCATACATTTATCAGTGACACTCCCGCATTTGCTGCATGTTTGCAGGTAATGACTGGCTCAACACATGGTTTATTATCTAGAAGACAGTTCCACTGTGTCACGTGGAAGCTATCAAAAGACAGTTATTTTCCAGTTAAAACTGATCACTCTGAAGGAAAGAAAGAAGGAAGAAAACTAAAAATGTGCAAAACACCTATGAAAAATAGATGGATTTAGAAATGGAAACAAATTAAGAAAAATAGAGTTTTATATTTCCTTTTCTTATATGCAATTTAGTTTTTCAACAGCAAGCTCAAAAAGGTCTCTGGCCCTTCAAAAGTGTGCTGGTTTTGTCTGGGGCAAACCTAACCAGCCAAGCTAGTCAAAAAAAGACTGTTGTTGTTTAACCCCAGCCAGCAGCTAAGCACCACGCGGATGCTCACTCCCTCCCTTATCTCTCTCTTCCCCCACCCCCTCCTCACTTGGTGGAATGGGGAGCAGAATCAGAAGTAACTTGCAGGTTGAGATAAGAATAACTGAATAATAATTGAAAACAAAGTAGAATACAATGCTAATGGTAAGTTATAATTATTATAATAAAAAGGAAGAAGAAAGGGAAAATAAAGTAAAACTAAACCAAACCAGTGACACAAAATATAACTGCTCACCACCTGCTGACCAATGCCAGACCAGATCCACCCTCCACTTCTGGGCAATGCCCCCAGTTTACATACTGGGCATGATGCTCTATGGTATGCAATATGCCTTGGCCAGTTTTGGTCACCTGTCCCAGCTATGCCAGTTTCTTTTGGGTACCTTCTCACTGGCAGTGAATGAGATACAAATAAGGAAAAAAATGATCCAGATATCATTTGCAAAGTGATATAAGCACTCAAAGAGTCATCACTCTTTATGTGGAAATGTAACAGTATCACAGTTTGGCTTTCTATCACCAAATGTAGCTACCCTTAGAAGAACACAAAGGAAACAGTTTAAGCCACATCAATCTACTTGTTTTCAATTTGAAGATATTTTCTGTTAACTTTCAGGAAGAAAAGCCCTGGTAGGGCTGGGAAATAGTAGGATTAAACTAAGTTTAAATCAATGTACGTTATTATCTCTTCTATAAATTACATATTTCTCTTTGTAACCAATACGGCCATTTTGAAGAAGACCCTTGACATTTTTATGGAAGAGTATGGATACCTTTCTGGCCTACACATTAATCAAGGAAGGTAACACAATGGCTTCTGGAATATCTGGGGATATGAATACATTATAGCTTGACTGACTTTTAACTAAATTTAGAAATACTTATTTACTACTTAATAAAGTAGAGCCAGAAAACTACATGCATTATGAGTCAAAGAGTTTATTGTTTTTCGTTCTTTCAGCTTCAATGATAGATAAGTTTTTAATCCATCTAAATGTTTTCCAAGTTGTATCTTCTTTGTTAATCATCAAGACCCTTTCATAAATTTGTTCACAAGGGCTGTATTCACTTTTTCAGCAGAGTGCTATGACATTTTTATGCAAATTCCTCTGGGATACCAAATGTTTAGCACGGTCAGAGTTTGAAAAAAGAAAGCTCTTAAGAGGCTGAGTATATACAATGTCAAATCTTCAGACAGTTTCATATTGGCAATTAGAAGATCCAAGCATCTATTTAAAAATATTTAATAGGATATTCAAGGGAGCATTAATATTACTGCTCCTTCAATTCATCTCCCCCTCACATTTTAATGCAATAAGAAGCTTGCACAAGTGCTTCAGTCTGAGAAAAACAAATTATGCAGAGTTTAAAATCTCCTTTTGTATTACATTAATTAAGTTGAAAAAATATGAGGAAAAAACAATCAAAAGAACTTTAATGTATTCTAATTGCTATTCTACATTATAGCTCTATTTGTGACAAATTTTATGTGCATTGCTTATGCAGAAATTAAAATGCCTGTCCTTAGCAGGCATTCTCATAATGAATACATAAATTTTATTACTTCATTACCAAATGTGAAGCAGAGATAATACATAAAAATTCCCTGATATTCTTATTCTTTTGCTAAGCCTTTTCCCAAGTTCAGGGACAGTTTTGGTATGTCTTTTAAGTCTAATATTTTGCTTTTATTCTATCTTCTACACCACTGACTATCCTTTAGAACTAATTTTTCTTATAGGGGAACAGTGCACCTTTGACGACCATTGCATGATGTTAATGAGGTCAGTGTGTGCCACAGGAATCAGCCTCCCACAGCTATTGGCCAATACATGGGGCATGTGGTGGGACCACTCAGTAGGTACTGTTCATTTGCACAGTGCATAAACAACAAATTTTAACAAGATTTGTAACACATGGTAATATCATTTTGCTTCATGTGCAGAATAATATTCTTTTTTCTCTTTTGAAATTACACATTTATCCATTCATAGCAAGATTCTACAACATTCTTAAGATAGCTGTGAGTAAGGGTGCACCAATGAAGTCATGGGAAGTGTTGTGGAATTAGAAACAAAGGCTAGAACTAATTCCCTCTAATTTGGTATTTATCTTTTTAACTTTTCCATTTCACATGCCTTGATCAGTTTTGTTCCAGTTTTGAAGTGTTGTTATTTTCACAGGCTAAGCAGTTGTAGGAATGCAGCTTCTCTATTAGGTCTCATTTTAAAAAAAAATAAAGGCAGTAAACGGTATCAAGATAATATTTATTCAGATTTTGCACAATAGAGGAATTGCTTAGAATTATGGCTACAAGAAGAAATCACTGTTTTGAAACAGCATCAAATTCCAGTGAAGAATTGCAAAAGCTTATAAAAAAAGATGCTATGTTTCATATTGCTATAATAGACCTTTTTTGTCACTGCTTATCATTAATCTTTCCAAAACCTTAGGTACTTGCCCGGTAGACACCTGTGCTAACCATCTGAGATCTCCTTTTACAGCCCATGGACAGAAATATGAGGTGTTAGAGCAGTTTTCACCTGCCCTGTTTGTGTTGTGTCCTTCAGTGTAATATGAATCACTCCCCGAGTAGCAATTTCTTTTTTTTTAGCTACAAAAGGAGTGCTTATTGTTTGAGATACTGAGACACTGCTGAAATTTATATTTGTTTATATGAATTCAGTTCATCTGCTCCAAAACACAGTACTGGGATCATTGGAATCATGAAGTTTCAGGTGATGAAACACTCTTGTGTTGTGTCCTTCAGTGTAATATGAATCACTCCCCGAGTAGCAATTTCTTTTTTTTTAGCTACAAAAGGAGTGCTTATTGTTTGAGATACTGAGACACTGCTGAAATTTATATTTGTTTATATGAATTCAGTTCATCTGCTCCAAAACACAGTACTGGGATCATTGGAATCATGAAGTTTCAGGTGATGAAACACTCCACTCTACTGTCAACTCCTGGTAATGACATAATGTGTGAAATCACCTCTTATGTCCATCCATGAATAGCAGTCCATGAAGAATGCTATAAAAAGTATCTTCCCTTTAGCGGAACATCTTTTAGTCTCCAGCTGACTTCTAAAGGCAATGTTTTGACTTTGACCTATGTCTTAA